CATTTGATACAGTTCTATTTGTCAATTCTTCTTATTTTCTGAGCTATTGGAGTCCTATTCAGAAAGTCATTGCCTATGCCTATATCTTGACGTGTTTCCCCAACATTTTTCTCTAGTTTCAAAGTTTCAGGTCTTACAGTAAGATCTCTGATCCATTTGGAATTGATTTTTGTAGATGGTGAGAGATAGGGTTCTGTTTTCCATCTGCATGTGGCTATTCCAGCACTGCTTGTTAAAGAGGCTGTTTTTTTTACAATGTATGTTTTTGGTGCCTTCGTCAAGAATCAGATGGCTGTAATGATGTGGGCTTATTTCTTGATCTTTTATTCCATTGGTCTGTGTGTCTTTTTGTTCCAGTTATCACATAACTATGACTTTCTGAAGATCAAGTTTTCTATAGTAGTAGCTTTGCTTCTTTTCAGATCTCTTTCTAACTCAGGGACAGCTGTGACTGTGTGAGAACCTGAGGATCCAAAGCTTCTGAGAACTTTACACTTTCTCTTGTCACTTTGTGCAGGAGTCTAGTGTTTATTCGTATCTCTTTGTCACATTTAAAGAAATATTCTTAAAATTCTGGGTGATAGGCTGATGCATTGTTGATTTTCGAAGGATTTTCATTGACTACTTTGTATGGGAAAACTGAACTGAGTTTTATCTTCTAGTTTAGGAAAACAGTAATGCTCATAGCTTGTCTTTTGTCCAAGATCAGAAAAGCCTGAATTTGAGATTGTCATGTGCATTTGGGCAGTCTGCATTTCTGTAGGATCTTTTGGTGTGGCTGTTCATGGTAGGTCTCATATTTGTTTGGAGAACACTAGTGGTAAAGCACTTAGCTAACTGGGTGAACTTGAGCAAGTCACTTAACTCTTAATCTTCTCCTTTTTGATTATCTCTCAAGTCAAGATGATAACATACTTCCAACAGAATTCCTTTTTATGGCTAACTGAGATGCTGGTACGTATATATATCACAGTCCCTCCTTTAGGAAGAAATTAATGCATCTTAGTTGCTATTATTAGCTTTCAGTATATAATTATATCAATCCATTAAAGTCACTTTTGTGATTTATTCTCCAAACTGGTTTGAATATCTAACCTGCTGATTTACCAGTTTTAATTTAGCCTCAGTAATCATAATTTTTGTATTAGGCTGACTTGAGAACATTAAAAAAGGTGAAGAAATTGTAGTGCATTATTTTTTCTCCTTCCCTGGGACAAATGGTTATGTATTTTTTGTAAAGTGTATTATTTCATTTTCTTCCAATTAACTATATACTATTATAGCAAAATTCATGGGCTAGGAAATAGGAGTCGGGATATGGTTCCAGTTATCTTAGTGAGGGAAGTCACAGGTTTTATGATTCTGTATATTTAAGCTTTCCTTTTAAATTATCGAAATATTTGGAGTATTTTTTTTTCTGAAAACAATTGAGTTATAGCTTATCAAAAGCACAGAATTGTTAGTAGATCCTTCATTTAAAAATTTAAGATTTCTCAGAATTCATTGAAGATTTCAGATACATTCTCAAATTTAAATTACATTCATAAAAATTTCTAGTCTGTCGAAAGCTAACATTTTTAAACTTCAAATATACTATTACTCAAGCCCAATTTCTATGATCACTGATTTTACTATAGATAGGGTCTGGATTTTTGAAAAAAAAAGTAGGTAAGACACATCTATAATTAAATTGAAATTTTTATTCTTTTAGTTTCTATGCACAATATAGGATTTGAACTCTTTAATAATTATCAAATTGGTTTCTTAGTCAAAGTGACAAATCCTTGGCATCTCATTGAGTCTATGTCAGACTGAATTTTGTATCAGAAATGAGATTGCCTGAATATATTTAGAATCTTACTTTGAAATGTCTGAGCTGAATTGAAACTATTTGTTTTGTGTGGATCACAATGTTTTTCTAGGGAAAAAGAGCCTTGCTGCTTCTGCAGAACTGCCAGGCTGACAGACTTCTTAGGTGAAATGGTGTGTCAGTGCTTGGCACGTTCAGTAGCTTAGGCTCACAAATAGGTTAACCTGGGCAGCCTTTTCAAAGCAGTTAAACATGTAGGTCTATTTTACTGATTTCTTCAATTAAAAGTGAACTTTAGATGAGGCAGATTGACTCTATGAGATCTTTAAACATAACATATTGCATACATTTATTTTTCAATTAAATTTTTGATGTTTTATATATAGGTTTTATAAGTATTAATAGACTGAGTACAGAGATTCTGATAAATGTAAATATTAATTGCATTTAAAATTATTTTATTAATTTATTTAATTTATTTTATTTTGGCAGTACTGAAGTTTAAAGTATAGGTTTTATAAGTATTAATAGGCTGCTTGAGTACCGAGATTCTGGTAAATACAAAGACTAATTGCATTTAAAAATCTTTTTACTTATCATTTTATTTATTTATTTTATTTTGTCAGTACCAAAGTTTGAAGTAAGGGTCTTGTGCCGGCTAGGCGAACCATGCTTAGCCCTCCTCCCTCCTTTACTTTTTCTTTTTTTTGCCATAGCCAATTTTTAAATAGGGACTCCTGGTTTTGCCTGGGCCAGCCTCAGGATGGTGAGCCTACTGTGTATGCCTCCCATGTGCTACCATGCCTGACATATTGATTGGGAAGGGCCTTGCTAACATTTTTGCCCAGCCTATTTCAAAGTGAATTCTTCTCATCTCTTGTCTCCTGAGTAGTTGGGATTACAGACATTAAATCACCACACCTGGCTAAAAATAATTATTATTTTAGCAAGAATGAATTTAGTGCTAGGGATATAACTAAGTGGTAGAGCCCTTGACTAGCATGTGTGAAGGCCCTGTGTTCAATTTCTAACACTGAAGAAAAAAAGGAATTTATTTAATTCTAATTTGGTTTATGTGGTTGATTAAGTTTTAGTGACTATGAAGCTTTATATCTGGAATTGTGATATTCTTTAAGTTATATAGGAGCATTAGAGTAATTTATAGTCAAAATGTTTGCATGATAATATATCTTTGGTTCTCTTTGTATGTCCTTGTCTAGCCTGTATATTATGTGCTTGAACAATCTTAAAATTGATAATGTGGGCATAAAATAAAACAATAGTTTATATCTAAATCTGTTTCTTTTTAAAGACTGATTTTTTTCCTATATATTTTCTCTTCCAAACTTTCTTTCATGAGAAAGTACTTGAAAAGTGTTACCTTCCTTCCAAAATTATTCTCTTTGTCTAATCTTGTTTTCTGCTTTTTCCCCCTCATTAGTGATTTATTCCAGGCATGCTCATATTAGTCTTCATAACTAATTTTTAACAATTGCATTTATTTTATTGTTCAACATTCCTCAATTTAAGAATTTTTCCAAATAATTATAATCACAAGGACCATATGTTAAAATTGTTTTCATAAGTACATTTTTCCTGATTTTTACTTTCTTTCAGAGTGCAAATTCTCTTTCCCTGTAATTCAGTTGCAGGTTCCATTTTCTTTCCATGAGAAGCTAAAGTGTGTTACTCTGTTAGCTTTGGTCTCACATGTCTGCTGATAATTTAATTATTTTTCCTTATAAATCACTTCTTTTTCCCCTAGATGTTCAAAGGATATTTTTTCTTTGCTTTAAAGTCCAGTAATTTTACTAGACTCCGTCTTGGTACTGGGCATTTTGTATTGCTATGCAGTATGCTCATTTAACAGAGTAGTACTTTGCAAAAACTTTAATCTACCAGTTCTGTGATTTTATTTTTTTAAAAAAAATTCTCTTTGTGCATTTCATCCAAATGTAGATAATTTAAAGGATTATAACTATATGAACTCTTAAAATGCTACAGAAAGCCTTGAAAATTAGTTTTGCCTCGTGTTTTGGTAGGTTGCAATATGATTCTATAAACATTATTGTAATCCCAGCACTCTGGAGGCTGAGGCAGGAGGATTGCTAGTTCAAGATCATCTTGGACTATTTGCAAGACCCTGGCTCAAAAACAGAAACAAAAGATTCACATAGTTTGTTTATTCTTCAATATAATCCAGAAGAAAGATTTGTCTATTCAATTGGATATGCTTTTTCTCAACAAAAAGGAAAGTTATGGATGAACATAGTAATTATCTTCGGTTTTGGTAACAAATACTTTGTTTCCTCAGAATTTATGTTGTCCCTAAACATCTTTATTGTTAGAGGTACATGCATATTATTTTAAAAGATCTTAGAAGTAAGTAGATTATGAATTGGCAAGGGAAAATTAGCTTAAATATACTTAATTCTCAGTGTAGCTAAATAATATTAATACAAGTTTAAAAGCAACTGTTTAATAAAAGTAGATAAAATTCAACCAGTTTTTTTTCAAGATGTGTTTACTTAGTGTGGATCTTTGGTTTTTTTCTGGTCCAGTGGAAAATAGAAGGGAGAATATCCTCACTGCCCCAGGGACTAGTGCTTAGAGAAAGGCCGTAGTGCCCTTAGGCTGATGCTTTTGAAGGATGGATATAGTTCATCCCCAGTCTAGAGTGGTGCCAGTTCCTCCTTTGTGGCTTTATGTTTTATTATGCTTCAGGTGTTAGATTTCCAGGTTCAAACAAATATATCTAAATATCTAATATATATATATATAGGAAACAAATATGAAATATTTCTTATTCTCTTCCAATGTTCCCTTATACTTGTTTGTGATTTGACTATGACTGGACCTGTATTTATGGTGGATGTTCTAACCCAGTGGATTAATGTAGGTAGTCTCAGTATATCCTAGTTGTTCACTGAAAAGGGTGACATTGAGGAAGCTATACTCCAAGATGATAAAATCATGATTAATATTCACTTAATAGAATATTGTTATGTTTCAGGGTCATCTTATAGCCCACTAAATAAGATCACAGTTGTCGTGGCTAACATGTTGCTCATTAAATTGGAAAAATCCTAAACCCCATGTGAACTGTATGGTTGACCATTACTTGCAGTTTATATAAAGTATCCTTTTGAATGCTTACAAATACGTAAAATTTATTCTTTTATTTTTATAGTCTGTTCGGCACTTGAAGTACTCCTTGTTTAAGAAGTCACTACTGGGCAGTGTTTCAGATAATGGAACAGTAACTCTCTGGGATGTGAACAGTCAGAGTTTCCACCATAATTTTGATAGCGTGCATAAAGCTCCAGCTTCAGGCATCTGTTTCTCTCCTGTCAATGAATTACTATTTGTAACCGTAGGCTTAGATAAAAGAATCATCCTTTATGACACATCAAGTAAGAAGTAAGTGCAACACACCCACTTCTTAATTTAGTAACAGACAGTAGTCTCATTAACTGACATATTTGTGGCTCATGTAGACCTCTGATTAATGTCTAGGAGATCCAGTGTTTGAACACTTGATGTATCTAATAAACAAGAATTTTCTTTTTTTTGTCTTCTTGTGCAGAAAAAATGAATGGGGCACGGGTATTACTTAGGTTGCTTCTGAAACATGAACATTGGAGAATGCATCTTGATTTCACATCTTTATTTAGCATACTTTTTTTTAAAGTACAACAAAATTCATGTATTTTAAACCAGTATTTTAATTTGCTTTAAAATTAATTCATTCTCTAGAGCAGTTTCCAAACTACTGATATTGGGCTGGATAGTTCTTTGTTGGGGTGGGAATGGGACTGTTCTAGGCATTGTAGGATATTTAGTAGCATCCCTGGCTTTTCCCACTAAATCCCAGTAGCATTTCCCAAGTTGTGATAGCCTGTACTATCTCTAGAGGTTGCAAAATATCCTGAGAGAACAAAATTGTTCCCAGTTGGGTAAAAAATGATCTTCTTGTCATTTGCCTTCTTTGGTTGTAGGTATGATTAATTTAGACCTAACATACAAAAACCAACACTCTGCAAGAATGCTAGAGTTGTATTCAAGATTACTAACAATCTGTAAAGATCACTTAGAATGTTAATGTTACTATTAGGGAAGGTTCCCCGTGTCACAGGTGTTGTTATGGTTGAGTTTTTATTATTACTTATTTTACTCTCTTCTCTTGAAATATTTACGGAGAGCCCTAAGAGTTAGTTAGCCAATCTTCTCTTATACCAGATACCCAGCAAAGAGCTCAGCTTCAGCTGATATTATCCATGTGTATTAGCTTCCCAAGAATCAAGCCACATGGACTATGTTCCTTTCAGCTTTTTGGTCAGAAGATGCACAACTAAGAACAGAGTAGCAGCTGTTGCCCTGTGAAAGGTCATAGTCCTTTTGAGACCTAAGTCAATCACTAAGTGGAAAGTGGATATGTGTAGCCTCTTTGTGGAGAACACCAAGAATTGTGTTAAATTCACTGCCAAAAAAGAAGTAGATGCTGTTTCTGTAAGATGTAGAAAGTCCCTATTGGTAATGAAATAAAATGGACATAAATAGAAAAATAAGATGATATGGTCAGCAGTCATTTCTGTGTCATTTTATTAGAACTGTCATAGGCAAATTCTAGAATTCTGCTTTAGCTAAGTATTTGGGATGTGTATGCTATTTACCCAGTTGTTTGGTTGGTAAACATTTGTGTCATGTAAGCTTATATACCTGTGTGTACTAACATATTTGCATATACTTGGTTCCCTTTACCAAAGGCTAGTGAAAAGTTTAGCGACTGACACTCCTCTGACTGCAGTAGATTTCATGCCTGATGGAGCCTCTTTGGCTGTTGGATCTTCCCGTGGGAAAATCTATCAATATGATTTAAGGATGTTGAAATTACCAGTGAAAACCATCAGTGCTCACAAGACATCTGTGCAGTGTATAGCATTTCAGTATTCCACTGCTCTCACTAAGGTAAGATATTTTTTATACAGCATTTTTGATTCTACTAAAAACCAACACAATTTGAAAAATATGTTGTCAAACACAATGTAGTATTGTTTCATACACTTTTATGTGATAGCATTTTAAATAATTTTAGTAAAAAGCCATTTGATACATAGTTTTAAGACTTTTTGGTAGTTAATTCTCTTGTAAAACTCTTCAAAAATATTTTAAAAGGCTCAAACTCAGATTCACCAGCAAGCTTAAGACTTGTAAAATAAAAAAATATTTTTTAAGCTAACAGGGTGTTTATAAAATATTAATGTGTAGTATGAAACATTAGTAACCTGAGCTTTTAAATATTCCATTACATTTTAGTCGAGTTCAAATAAAGCCTGTTCAAATAAGGCCACTGCACTGAACAAAAGAACCATTAATGTGAACCCTACTAGTGGAGGAGCTCAGAATTCTGGAATTGTCAGAGAAGCACCCACCACTTCCATTGCCACGATTCTACCACAATCCGTGACAACAGCTGTGGGGAAAGGAACGGTTGCTGTTCAGGACAAAGCAGGTAAATACTACTTGAATAGAGAGAACTTGGAGGGTTTTCTTCCCTAAATATATATAAGGAGCCCTTTCTTCAGGAACCTAGAACTCAAATTCATTTAGTACTGAAGTTAGACTTTTAGTAGGTAGCATTGAAGAAATTAAATTTTTAATTTTTGCTAGAAGTGTTTTAAAAGTCCATGAAAGGAAGGCACTGTGCAGCTGAAATTCTATAGTACATTCTATTCTATGTACTATTTACAGTTAGTGCGAAAAATAGTGATTACTTTAAAAATGGAGTGATGCCGACTCAAATCATTTGTCTTTAATACTCCTACAGCCTAGGCAACTTTGCATTGTGTCCCCAGTAAAGAATGTGAAATTTCGATGCTGTCAATTATAATTTGACCTTGTAGTTAAAAAAAAGAAAAGAAAAGCCATTAATGGATTCTTTTATTTCATATTTCGGAATGAAAATAATTTGTCAGGTAATGAAATGAATATTTTTAAGTGTTGGATAGTGCCTGGCACATATTAACCAGTATATTAGTAGTTTGTTAAATAAAAATGTAACTTTTCAGTAATTTCTTCTGATAAACATACTGGTGAGGCAGTTCTGAAAGAGGAATTCCTTTAGGCTTTGTGAAGGAGTAATATGATAAGCGTCACCACAGAAAACATTCTTCTCCCGCGATGAAATCATATTCTGTAAAATTCCTGAAAACACTTCTGTTTTTATTTTAAGAGGTTATGGTGTACTGTCAGCTGCAACAGATACCTGTCAAAGTCTACACGGTGTACCAGTATTGTTCTGTACATTGCGTTCCATAGAATTATGTGTGTATGGTCTTTTTTTAATTTTTAGGACAAGTACTTGTGCAAAAGCATTTACTGGTGTCTCTTCTCAGTATGAGTGTACTATTTACAGTTAGTACTGAAAGTTTTATCTGTTGACGTTGGTAGTGTCAGTTTTTGAAAATAATAAATATATTCACTATCAATTTCCTATGAATGTATGATACTTATGGAAAAGTATCTTATTTTACTACAGATAGAAAAATAGTTAGGTCCTCATTTAAGAACTCTCAAAGCCAAATACTGTTACTGTTTACTCTTAAAAGAATAAGTTCTTTTTGAAATTCAACTTTGAGTAATATTTGCCAACATGTTGAATTAGCTATGCTATGAAAATTGCCATTATTTAAAAAATCTTCTATAATTTATTATTTTATTCATAACTTAAAAATAAAGTATTTACTTACTCTGAACTCTCATTCAGTTTTAGTAAGGTGTCTCTTGTTTAAGGGTGGCAGCGTTAATAGGAAATGAAAGGACTGGTCTGCCGGGATGCTGATTGTGATCGTTCTTGGCAGGTCCCAAGATTTCTGACAAAACAAATGCTTTCTGTGCCGCACAGAGATTTGTTCATTGTATTTTGGAATAATTATCAACTTACAGAAAAGTCTTAAGAATAGTATGAAGAGCTCCTAAGCTTTACCCTTTAGTAAATTCACTACTTTGTGGATAAGTTTTGCCACATTTGCTTCCTTATTCTCTGTTTCTCTCAAATACATACACACATTTTTCCCTTGGATGCATTGAGATTAATTACACTAAAATCTCAGGTCTGTCACTTCTTCCCTGGACATGTTAGGCACTCAGTAAATGATGGTGTTATTAATATCATTGTTGTCATTGTAATCATCACCTAACTATTACTATTATTACCTTAACCTTTCTGTAAAACCAATGTAAAGTTTGAAAAAAATAAACTTCTTTCTTATTACTAAACCATCCTGGTTTTGTTCTGAAAACCTTACTGACTTGTTGGCACCCATTTTTAACAGGAAGCAGAAGGTTTTAGAGTTTTATATGATTCCGAGCTTCTACTTTGTAACATTCCAGAGACTAGAATTATGCACTCAAACTTGTAAAAGAGCTAGAAAACAGCAGAGAAAATATCTTCTTATAATAGCCTAACTCTTGTGCAATCAGTGACTGTGCCATACAAATGATTTGGTTGTATTTTAACTTTCTAGTAGTTATCATTTAAACAGTTGATCTCATTAGCCAGGCTTGGACATTTTTTGAAATACAGTAGTTGTCTGTTTCTTGTTTTCATTCCAGGTTTTTATGTTTTGAGAACAAGATGCCAAATAAAACACTTTTAAAAACATAATGTGTAGTAACATGCTGCCAATCCAGAAGCCAGATTTTCATCTAAGTTCTTGAATCTCAAGAACTCATTCCCTAACCCAGAAATGAGCAGAAGGCCACTGAGCCTGCACAGTTCCTCTTGCAAAGTCCCTGCCCTAAAGCCATGTATTATATACTGCCAGAGAGTATAAGCTGCTGCAGCCACTTCTGAGTTGTCTACTGTATTACTCTTTATGAGTCTGATATTCTGGTTTCCTTATTCCTAGTAATTTACAGAAGTTAGTGAAGTCACTTGAGATCGATAATGCTTAAGGCAATGCTAAGCTCGAACTGTTAGTGAAAGGAAAGACAGAGAAGGGAAAAAAGACCCATGCTCTGCAGGCTGGAGAGCTAAAGTTAATTGAATCCTGTCCTATTAGGCATCACACTGTATACCTAGCAGACTTAAAGAAAAAATCATTTGGAGATGATCAGAAGAGTTAGTAACAAAAGTAAATTTGTGTTCAGTATACTTTTAGAGGGAAGCAAAACATATAAATTATTTTAAGAAGTTTTCCATCAAAATGGCTCAAATCAGATGTTGCAGAATGAACAAATAAGCTGTTTGCTTTTGAGAAACCCTTCATTCCATGAAAATGCTGGTTAGCCTAATGGTTGCCATATTCTGCTTTTCCTGATACCCTCAGTGGTAGAATTCCAACAATGAGGGTAATGCATTATTTTTTACAATATAGTTTCTGATGATAAAATTTATTTAGACACAGTAACACTGATTTTTAAAAATCTAATTCTTCTAAGGTTTGTCACGAAGCATAAACACAGATATTTTCTCTAAGGAAGCAAACAGTGGAAAAAATCAGGATTTCTCCAGCTTTGATGATACTGGAAAAAGTAGTTTAGGTGACATGTTCTCACCTGTCAGAGATGGTAAGTATGTTCAGATCAATGGATCCTGTTCTTTTGGTGATGGTTATTGCACTTTCATTCGGGCTAAAAGGTGTGGGTAATGAATAGCTTGTTTAACTCAGTATATGGCAGTTTGCTAATTGTATCTATTACTGGGTGGTATCTTTTTGTTTACCCTGATACTTCAAATGTTATAATTCTAAAATATATGCTAGTAATTTTCACATGGTAACTATGGAAATAGCTCTTGGTATTTTAATTTCCACAAAAATTTCTTTCTTTCTTTTTTTTTTTTTGCAGTGCAGAGGATCAAAAGCCTAGGACCTTTTATAAGCTGGGCAAGTGCTCTACAACTGAGTTACACCCTCAACCCCCACAAAAATTTCTTTTTTGGGAGGGGGTGGGAGTCAGTTTGGGATTTGAACTCAGGGCCTTGTGCTTGCTAGACAAAAGCTCTTCCACTTGGGGCATAACTCTAGCCCTTTTGCTTTAAGTTATTTTTCAGATAGGGTCTGGTATTTTTTGTCTTCCATCAAGCTGGAATTAGTACCACCATGCTCAGATTGTTTATTGAGGTGTAGTGTTTTGCTAACTTTTTTCCCTGGCTGGTTTTGAACCAGGACCCTCCTGATCATTGCCTACTCAGAAGTTGGGATTACAGACATGAGCCACCATGCCCAGCCCAAAAATTTCTTCATAGCCAATCTTTTATTTGTATTTACTTCAAATTAAATCTCCTTAAAATCCTGGATGTTTTGGTATCCAAAAAGTATCTTCCTAATTTAGAAAAATTTAAGATTATTAGTGTTTAATTGGTGTTTATTAAATATATGGTTAGGTGATCAATTGCCTTATCTTTTATACTGTGCATGAAAGTACATGATATATGTGCTTATTTTTTGTACCATGTATATGTATATATATATATATATATATATACCATCCACTGCCCTGTAGGTGTTACCACTAAACTTTTTCCAGCTTGTGAAATGGGCACAATATTTACCATTGTTTGTGTATGTTAACTAGGACATTGTTTAGCTGTGCTTTTTTCGATACTCCCGTTTGTACTATTTTTCTTATTGGGATATATTCTCACTGCTGATAGAAATAATTGTCAATAGGATGGGTAAATAACCTGGAGGGCAATTTGGCAGATTTAAATTATTCATACTTTTTTGGCCTGGTAATTCAATTTCTACAAATTTACCTCAAAATATTCAGAGAATCCCATTAAGATTTGTGTATTTAATATTTATTGTAATGAAAAACTAGAGAGAATTTAAAGTATCAATAGTAGGATCTTAAAATTGTTACATCCACTCATGATCTTATACATTTTCATTTTTTACTTGAAAATTCTCTTCCCCAAGTTTTCTACGTTTCATTTCATAATAGAAGGAATAAATACATACCTGATAGTACAGATTTACTGAGTGTTTTCTATATTATCCTTGCCTGAAAATAACTCCTTAAACTTCTGAGTCAAACTCCTGTCTTCCACCTAATGAAAGATGGATTATCTTATTTCAGGATGAAGAGAAGTTGAACTACATAGTTAGGAAGTAAAGAAAGGAAGGAGGTGGGTGGAGAATGAAAAGGTGACAGGGCTAGAGTTGAGAACGGTTTCTAGGGTCAGCACTGAGTTGGGGAGCAGCCTGTATTTGTGAGAAGCACCCTTCCCTCCCCCAAGCAGCCTCTGCGTTTAAGAATGTAGGACGGGGCCTTTTGCAGGTGTTTGAGTTTTAAATTAAATCCTTTTTGACTTTTTTTTTAAATCAAACATTTTTAGTGGGTTCTATCATGACATTTTGTACATGTATATAATGTACTTTAATCATATGATCTGTAATGTTTTTTTAAGAGAAATGAATAAATTAGTTTTTCCTTTAACTGCCATGCTGTTTTTTCAAATGTGATTAGAATTTGAGGCATATTCCCCTAGTTGTTAGGGCTTTGTGTTATTAATAAGAAAAAACCTACATAGTAAATAAAATGCTGATTTTCGTTGTCAAGGGATTTGTCTTACTCTTAAGGATGCAGCTTTCTAAGAAAAAGGCTTACTCTGTGCCTCAATTTCTTCATCTTTTAAGTAAAATGCTTTTTTTAAGAAGAAACTAATAACTACTATTCATAAAAGTACTAATTAATAATACATTCAAAAAGTATGTCATGTGTGTCAGTATACACATGCAGATACTATTTCTACTAATGAGATAATCTTGTGTTTATTGACCATTTGAATTTCTGGTGAATTTGTTAATGACTTGCCCATTTTTTGTTAATATGCTAAAATCAAGTTAAACTGTTTTTTTGTTATGAATTGGTAAACGAATATTGCAGCATTAAAATAGTTTTACTCATTGAAGTACATATTAATAAAGCCTTATGGTTTTTATAAGATTGTACTGCTTACAAAATATTTTTATATTATTTCAATCAATCCTTAAAACCATCTTGTGAGGTGATCAAGGCATTATCTCCATTGTAAAGATGCAGAAACTGGAGCTTAGTTGCATTAGAGGCTTCCCAAAGTCACAAAGCTATTAAATGGAACAGGCAAAACTAGATTTCATATCTCTAGGACCTGCTTCAGGGCTTGTTCTGTCTTATTAAATGACTGTATAATAGAATTATCTTCATATTTTCTGCTGTGCATGAAGCTAAAAGAATGAAAAGGGAAATTTAAATGAGTACTAGCTTATAACTTCACTTATGTTTTCTTTAAAATCTTTAGTCTCTGAATTATTTTGGGAAAGAGTTGGAAAGCCTAAGTTGCTATGGCTTATTTTTCACTATTTTTATTTTAAATTTAATTGTATTCAATTTTATTTTAGATGCTGTAATTAACAAGGGAGGTGATGAGTCTGTAGGTAAAGGAGATGGTAAGAATTACTACGAAGTATTTTCATGAAAGTTAAGTGATATTGCGTATTATGTATTTCTCTGTAACCAGTTATCCCTATACTTGGAGGCTTAAAAGAACAAACATTTGTTACCTCATTATTTTTGTGGGTTAAGAATCTGAGCATGGCTTGGCTGGATGCTTTTGGCTTCAGATCTTTTCTTGATGCATCATTTGGGATATCAGCTAGAGCTGCATTCAACTCAAGGCTCAACTGGGCAAGAATCTGCTTCCAAGCTCGTGGTTTTGGCTGATGATAGTAGTTCCTTGCCAGTTGAGCATCTCCTTGGGGAAGCTGACAGCAGAGCAGCCACCTCCCTAAGCAGACAAGTGAGAAAGTGAGGGAGGACACTCAAGATAAAAGCCATAGTTTGAGGACACTGAAGATAGAAGCCATTTTGAAGTGACATCATACGCTTTTGGCATATTGTTTGTTAGAAGCAAGTTTCCAGGTCAACCCATATTCAAAGGGAGGGCTTGAATGATGTCAAAACACAGGGATCAGTAGGAATTACCTTATATGCTGCCTGCCACAATATAAACCAGAGATATTTATCAAATTAACTCTCTTCAGTTATCAAAAACTAATATTGACTAAAACATTCATTGTGTTTTGTAGTTTCCAAAGTATTTTCATATATAATATTTTTAAGCCTCAACACTCTGGGAGATGGATATCATAATTCACATTTATAGATCAGGAAATAGAGTTTTAAGCTTTTAGAAAATGGTGCCCAAAGACATAAGTTAATTCAGAGGTACAGCTGAGATACAAACTTGTCTTCTGAATTCAAATCCCATGTTTTTTGCCAAATTTATCTGCTCGTGTTAGTACTAGTAATGTCATGCTGATGCTAAGTGTCCAAGATTGGGAGCCATATATAAATGCAGTTTCCCTCCTCTTTTCTCAGGTCTCGACTTTCTATCACAATTGAACTCAGTGTTTCCTCCAAGAAAAAATCCAGTAACTTCAGGCACATTGGTATTGCATTCTAGTCCTCTTAATGTCTTTATGGGATCTCCAGGGAAAGAAGAAAATGAAAATCATGATCTGACAGCTGAGTCTAAGAAAACACATCTGGGAAAACCGGAAACTAAAGACTCCTTCAAACAGGTATCTGCCTGAAAACAATACTGAGCTCAATCTATATTTGCTACTGTGGGTTGCTGCCAGTGGATGTATCCTAATTATTAAATCTTGATGTCACTTGTTAATAACTGAAGACTAGTTTTGAAGTCTGTCTTTGGATATGTTGAAGGTAACAGTAGATGTTAATGTACACTATTTTTTCTAAGACTAGATATTTGATAGGTCTTGTCTAAGAATACTTTATACATGAATTTCTTTAAAATATATTTCCACTGCAGCACAAAACATCAAGTCAATGGTCAATTTATTTACTCTTAAGGCTTAAAGCAAATTTAATGGTGCTAAGAATCAAATCATTATTACCTTCAGTATTCAATATAGAATTTTATTTTTTATGTAAGGGTTCAGTTTGATCAAATATAGAAAGTCCAAGTCTTATGTGTGTATAGTCTCTTTTTTTTCACAGTGAAATGAAAATTATGCTGGAGATACAAAAATGATTTATTTTTCAAACATTTCTGTCTAGTTACACATGAAAGTTTGTTTTTAAAAATCTTTTATATTCCTTTTTAAATTCTTTTGCCAGGGATTTGCGTTTTTAAATTATGCTCAACAGCAGATGCTTTAGTAAATTAGCTTTTCCTCCTCATGTTTTTTTTTGCTGCTAGTCCTAGTATCTTTTTTTCCTTCTAAATCTCTTCCTATTCTTCCTTCATTTCCCTGACCCTACTGGTAGGAAAAGGGAAAAGTAGTTAAAATTTTGTGCATAATATGAGTAAAACAAATTATATATTAAAGTAATTGTTTATTTTAAATGCAAAGTTTACAAGGTTGATCTCCTCTGGTGCCGAACCTGGAAATGTAAATACCTCTCTGTCATATAACCAAACAAGAAATCTTGAGAAATTTGAAAAGCCAGAGAAAGAAATTGAAGCCCAGTTGATATATGAACCCCCAGTCAATGGATCTTCAACTCCAAGTAAGGTTGAAAATGTTAAGTAGAAAAGTCTTCCAATTATTTAATAGAGTGGTCATAGATTTAAAAAGAGTGAAAGGGGTTTAAAGTTTATACCGACTTCTCTAGTGTGACTTTTTTTTTTTTTAGCTAGAAAACAATGAAATGTACATGAATGGTTAAATTCAGCAGCATAGATCCTCTTTTGGTATGAATTCCATTCTAATCTATTTAGTGTGGCATTGATAGAATTATAATGTAAAAACCTTTGAAAAGGGAAATTATAAATTATAAATCTTTTTTTTTCCTTCTTCATATGAAAGTCTTCTATAGAATTTATCCCACACTCATAAAACTCAATTGTATTTAAAGGAATATTAGGTTTACCTGTAAGAGTTATCTGTACAAAGGAACTCTTCACATAGAAGCAACTATTATTACATAGACATCTGTATTTTCTTTAAGGCTCCTGTAGGTATATTGCATTAGCTTAAACTCCAGAGCTTTTCCTGTAGCATTTCTTTACTCTTAACTCCTATATCTTTCTGTTTCTTTTAAACAGTCTTGGTTTATTCGATTTGTGGTATAGCTTGTCACATTCATCTTTTATAAGAGGAAATGGTTCAGAGAGTCTTCAAGATCAATCCCCTGTCACATGTTATTACATTAGACAGTTGACAGCTTAGATAGATAGATAGATAGATAAATGACTATTAGAAATAATGTCATAGAAAGTTTCTAAAATTTGTATTCCAGTGAATATTTCGAAATGTCATAGTAATACTATTCTTTGCGAGTTTTTTCAGGTTTCCTCATGCCAAATACTATTTAAAAATGTTTGATGTATCTTAATCCAAGTTGTCTATTCATATTTTCTCCATTGTTTATTTTAGATCCAAAGATAGCATCCTCTGTCGCTGCTGGAGTTGCCAGTTCGCTCTCAGAAAAAATAGTCGATACCATTGGAAATAATCGGCCAAATGCACCATTGACATCTGTTCAAATTCGTTTTATTCAGAACATGATTCAAGAAACATTGGATGACTTTAGGTAACAATTGAAAAATTACCCTTCATCTAGACCTTAATTTTTTTTGCCTTAAATTAAACCTTATTTATTTATTTTTTTCTTTCAGTGTAAAACCAAAACAGTTCTTTTGTCTAGGTTCTGGTAACCATAAAACCACAGAAAACATGATGAGTTTTGTTGATCTTGTTATGTGCCTTTATTGACTGTCATCCAAGAAAAGGCAGATAACCTAAGCAATTATCAGATAACTAGACAGGGAAGTCTAAAGTGCCTTGTTGGTTATTTTTAATCATCAAAATGTAGACAGATTTTTGTGAATTCAAATGTACTTCTTGCATATAATGCTTATAGATTATCTGTTAAGTATGGTATGTGCATGAAGTATAGAAGGATTTTTTTAAGTAATTCTGTTTTTAAATAGAATGCATGAGAATGTAATAAATACAGAAATTCTCTCCTTAACCTATCCTCCTCTTACCTTTTGAATTTTCAACATTATCAGAGAATGTGTTCTAGAATGCTACTTCCTTTTACTTCAGTAGTTTGGAAGCTATTTTTGATTATTAGAATCTTTTATGGTTTATTTTCCTTTTATAAGCCATAGTTACTTGGATTATAATGAGAAGACTATTGAAGATGTGCAGTTTTTTTATTGGTGCATATTTATTTTTAATGTTTAAAAATTTAAAACTACATTTTAAATATTAAACATTTTTATGAAAAGTCATCATTTTGGCAATTATAGCATATCTACTGTATGTACAAGTATAGTAAAGATATAGAAAAGAATCATCTGCCTACAAAAGTTTATTTAGCATAGGTAGAGTGTGCCCTGCTGTGACATTATCTTAAATGAGATTTAATTTATTTGTGATAAAAAGGCACAGTGTTGACAGTATGATGGAGAAGTTTCATTTGTTCATGTAACTCTAGCCAAAATAAAAACATGTGAACACAATGCACAGCTAACCATAACAAGCCCCTTGTTGATGTCTTACACCTTTTTCTTTCCCTTCATTAGGTGTGGTCATGTGCTACGAGTTAGAAGCACTTATTTTGTGATTATTTCCCATCTCTGGACATTTTCCTTTTGCCCCCATAACTTGACAGCCCCAATCTTTTCCCCTTCCATTAAGTGACCATCACTTTTTTTTTTAAGAGAAAGTGTCTTACTCAGTATTTATCTATTAAACTTTTACCATGTCTTTTTAATGGTGTTAATATTTTTATTAAGAATGTTTTGGTGTTCTAGTTACAAAGTTGCACAGGTTTTCAATGGACTGCCTCAGTCCTTTTTCACTGAGCCTTGTTATTTTTAATATATAGTTTAAAACAGTATGAGTTTCTTTTCAATAATTTATAATATTTATGGCCTTATAACAGAACTGTTTGGATATATCTGGCTATAATGTGACCAAAATGATGTTGGAAACACAGAAAGAGCAATTTTCTGGGGCAAATTTAGAAAGGTGTCACTGCAGAGATTTGGTTTTATATTGAAGCGTGTAGAACAGCATAGACAGAGATATGATTGTAATTCTAGGATTGTTTCCAGAGGAGATACTGTGGTGAGACATGAGACAAAGAAGGTAGTTATTTATGAAGGCCTTAGTACATAGATAATAGTCATTATAGTTTTTAAGCACAGGAATAATGTGGTAGTGCTATTTGTTATTTATTTATTCAACAAACATTTGAGTGTCAGCCATCACTGATTTCAGATGATTTGAGGGCAGTGGGCTCAGGACCTTTCTTCATCTGGCCTGAGGATCTGAGTATGGGGGTGACTGAACTCAGCTTTATTGCTAGCTTTTTGCATTGCTGGAGTTTGATTTGTTCACTGTAGTCACTTTCTTGTTTTTTGTATTTTAGGACCTAGAGTGGCTAAGAATTTCTGTCAAGTTAGTTGCTCTGTCCTCAACATTCAATAGCTACATCTATCATTGGGGACACAGGAATGCTGAGACACTCTCAGCTGATCTCCTTCTGCCCTAGTGAAGGACTGCCATCCTTCATCATGAGGTCCTTGAGTGCTTCACAGGGGTCATTCTCAGTTCTCCCCTGCTTACCTAAGACTTCACAGGATCTTTGCCTCTGTGCATTGGGGATCTCTCAAGGCTGTGGCTCTGGCTATCCCTAATTTTTTATGTAAGCATTCAGTGAAGGCCTGTGGGGAAAAGTTGGTGAATAAATGCAGATGTTGTTGCTGGGGCTTTTTGGGATTCTAAACTGTCATGCCAGTCTTCACTTGGCCTTTAAAAATCTTTAGACATTTCAGCTAGTTTTTGTCACCCCTTCCAGGACAACTTTCTCCTGCCACTACTCTATTGAGGAAGAAAACAATGTTATGTATTTTTCTTTTTGCCTAGGAAGGACTCATCATTTCTCAGATTTTAGTTTATTTAGATTTCTTTATATTCTCAACTCTTTAGTTGAATTTAAAAACATAAGACCTTGTAGATTATCAGTGTTGTTCTCAATAGAATTGTTCAGCTGTTTCTCTTGTCTTTGAAGAAGATTTAAGTTTCTTTTGGCAAGCAGGTCACCTTGATCTCATAGTTGCTGATTTTCAGGTTTTCTTTCTTTTTTTCTTGGGCAGTGATGGGGTTTGAACTCAGCGGCTCATGCTTGATAGCTAGGCACTCTACCACTTGAACCTTGCCCCCAGCCATCACGTTTTTGTAGAGCTCATGTACTCCTCATTGTGCCTTTATTCCTAGGGCTTAGTCTTTGCCTCTCATAAGCTGAATGTCTGGAGTATTTACCGTGCTTGTCTTTTTACCTTGGCGCGTCTTGGACCTTAACATATCTGTTGTAATAATATCCCAAGCCTGTCAAAATGCCTTTCTGCTTTTCAGCTGCTCTTTTGTGTTTGGTTTCTTGCCATCTATCCCAATACATGCACTTCTTAGGCATCAGCTGATGTCTCATGGGGAAATTACATAATTTTAGGCTTGCTTTGCTGCAGGCCTCCCCTCGTTAGAATCTTAGGCCTTCTGACCTTGACTGCCTTGGTAGTTCCCATCTCTAACATTCCCCTACCCAGTGAGACTGTCTCTAGCTCCAGGCCACTGCTATATCTCAGTTTCTTTTCATGCTGTGGAATGAGCATATATCCCAGAGGAAAAGCAGAAGTAAATGTAGGTAAATCTTACTAGTAGATTTGCCTTCTTTGTAAGACCATGACACTTCACCTCTTGGCCATGTTGGTGGTAGTCTGATACCTTCTCCCATTTTGTTGTTTCTGCATGTGTGTGTGTGTGTCTGTGTGTGTGTATTTGCAGTGCTGGGAATCAAACCCAGGTCCCCATGCATACTAGGCAAGTACTCTGCTACTGAGCCACACCACAACCTTTCTGATACCTTCTGTTTTTAATACAGCTTTTATCATAACTGAAAGCCTGAAGAAATTTTCAAAAAATACCTTATAGTTGATAAGAACTAAGGTTCTTGGAAATAAATCTAACCAAAGACGATGAAGATTCTTATACAAAAGGTTTTTTTAAAGAAGAAGTTTTTTTTTTTCTTTTATTATTCATATGTGCATACAAGGCTTGGGTCATTTCTCTCCCCTGCCACCAACCCCTCCCTTACCACCCACTCCGCCCCCTCCCTCTCCCCCCCACCCCCTCAATACCCAGCAGAAACTATTTTGTCCTTATTTCTAATTTTGTTGAAGAGAGAGTATAAGCAATAATAGGAAGGAACAAGGGTTTTTGCTGGTTGAGATAAGGATAGCTATACAGGGCATTGACTCACATTGATTTCCTGTGCGTGGGTGTTACCTTCTATGTTGATTCTTTTTGATCTCACCTTTTCTCTAGTTCCTGGTTCCCTTTTCCTATTGGCCTCAGTTGCTTTTAAGGTATCTGCTTTAGTTTCTCTGTGTTAAGGGCAACAAATGCTAGCTAATTTTTTAGGTGTCTTACCTATCCTCACCCCTCCCTTGTGTGCTCTCGCTTTTATCATGTGCTCAAAGTCCAGTCCCATTGTTGTGTTTGCCCTTGATCTAATGTCCACATATGAGGGAGAACATACGATTTTTGGTCTTTTGGGCCAGGCTAACCTCACTCAAAATGATGTTCTCCAATTCCATCCATTTACCAGCGAATGATAACATTTCGTTCAAGAAGAAGTTTTTTTAAAAAAATGTACTACAAAGCATTAGCACCTAAATAAATGAAAATATCTTATGAAGATTTCAGTTCATTTAAATTGGTCTGTAGATTGAATGCAATTCCAATAAAAATCCCAACCGGATTATTTGGAAGAAGATGGTGAAATGATTCCAAAATATATGTGGAAGAAAAAAATCCAGGAGTAACCAGAACACTTCGGAGAAGAATGAGACAGAAGGGAACTTGTTTGTCAGATGGTTTAGCTTAATTACTGAAGCAAAATTAAGATACTGTAACATTGGCACAATGTGGACAAATTAGCCAAAGGAATCAAATAGTAAAGAAAGAAACCTTTGCATGTATGGAAACTTAAAGATTACAGAGGTAACATTGCAGAACTGTTGGCAAAATATGGAATAATCAATAAATTGTGTTCTAATAGTTATGTAAAAAAGTAAGTATGAACCCCTATTCCATACTTTAGAAAAAAATCAATTCTATATAGAAGTTTAAGTTCCAAAAGGCAAAGTTTTAGACATCATAAGAGTTTACTTATAAACTCACTGTAGTAAAATGATTGAATATAAGGAAATACACTACATATGAAAATAGATTGGTAAATTTGACTGTAACTTTAGGTTGGTAAGTTTGAGCATATTAGTAACTCTAATCAGGAGACACTATGAACAAAGTGACATCTACAGTATACTCATCACCAGCGAAGGATCAGATTATGTGAAGAATGCTTATGATGAATGAGAACAAGACGTGAATAGGCATTTCACAGAAGAGGAATGATATATGATCATGAGGAAAAATGTTCAACAACATAATCAGAGTATGGAAAGTACAGTGAGATACTATTTCATGTTAATTAAATTGCAAAATATAAAATATATAGTAATACCAAGTCTTGGTGGGGTGATAGGGCTAGAGGAATGCTATTATATAGATGGTAAACATATTATAGACACTACCACTATGAAAACAATTTGCATGATTTTATAAAAGTGAACAGGTGTATACCTAGGTTTATGCCCGGATATATCTTCTTAGACACTGGCATATGTGGGTTGAAAGACATACAGAATTGTTTATAACAACATGGTAGTAATAAAACTTGAAAACACTCAAATAATAATTGAAATAATGAAAATACCAGTGAGTGACAGATTCACAGTCTATGAAACTAGAAAGCATGATATTTCCCAAACACTGTGTAGGGTGATGGCACCCTTTCTGCAATTCCCCCAAAACAAGCAAAATGAAAACAGTAGTTACAGATTGTGTGTTGCACAAATGTACTTTTTAAGAAAAGCATTTCTTTGCTCCAAAAAATTTAGGAGACTTTCTTGAGATTTTTCCCTAGAGTTAAGTGATATTAGATAGGAGCTGTGGGAAGCTCTCATGATGTGATAATACTCTTGCTAATGAGTTGATTGTCCTCCTTTCTTTATTATACTACTTAATTTTCATGTGTTCTTTTGTAGACATAGATTAATTGCATTTTATAAGGAAATCATCATTACAATCACCCATATACCCCTTTCTACTGGAAATGTTTTTTCTTTTGTTTTTCTGGTGGCACTAGTGTTTGAACTGAGGGCCTAGGCAGGCTCTCTGCCATTTGAGCCACTCTATCAGCCCTCTACTGGAAATATCTTTTCAGTAGCTAAAACACTGACAATCAGATGATCATGAAAATCTAATGAATTTTCTGTATTTCTTTCAAGTCTGTGTCTTTAATGATTATTTCTATGCAAAAAAATACAGTGCAGTAGGACATCTAGAAGTAGACAAGGTTTACATTCTGTTTTACACTTTGCTGGTTGCATAACTGTGGGTTCCTTCACTCAGTTTCTTTAGTAAAATGGAAGTGATAATTGCTCCTAATTGTGACGATTGAACGAGTACCTATATTTTAAAGTGTAAGAAACTTTGCTTAGCATTTAGTAAATACATGCTAGGTAACTAGTATTTTATTATTGTAATTGTTATTGATACCCAATAATTTGAAACAGTGAGAAAGATTAGCCAGTAGAATTGGTTAATTGTTAAATTCTAACAGGTACTTTATATTCTTTCCTAGGGAAGCATGCCATAGGGACATTGTGAATTTGCAAGTGGAGATGATTAAACAGTTTCATGTGCAACTGGTGTGTATAACAAATTATGTTTTAAATGAATGTAGAATTGTGTGGATCTCAAAAAAGATTCATTAAAGGGCAGTGTATTTTTTACTTAGTTGTTACATCTTATTGCTAAGATAAAGAAGTTTCAGAAATTTTAATAAGTAAAATAGACTTTAGATGGTCATGTCCTTTCAAACCTGTGATTGTTAAGGCTACTTTTTCATAGCTTCTCCATCCTTCGACCCTCCTCCATTAAGTAAGTAAAAAGCCTTCCAAATGTATGAATATAAATCTTCCAGCTATATTAATCTTACCAGTAATCTTTGTGGTTAAGTACAAGAAATATCATTCAGCTAGTTAATTAAACATGAGAGAAATGATATCTGAAAGTATGTAAAACATAGCCTGCTAAATAAATGTGAAAAACCAGTTATTTAAAAAGACTTTCTCTCATTTTCTAGAATGAAATGCACTCTTTGCTGGAAAGATACTCAGTGAATGAAGGTTTAGTGGCTGAAATTGAAAGACTACGAGAAGAAAACAAAAGACTGCGGGCCCACTTTTGAAAACTCAGTGAATACTTTAATGTTTTGTGATTTGAGAAATTTCTGGCAACAAAGAACAATATAGAATCAGTATTTCAATGGCCTCTAAAGGGAAACTTTTTTTTTCCAATTAAAAAACTAATGGGATTTTACCCCAAGTACTCTTCATCTTTGTCAAAAATATTTATATTTTTATATTGAAGTTGTACAACATGTCATCTGCCTAATAGGAAAGTCAACAGTATCTTTATTTTTCTGAAAGATTTAGCTATACACAAAGTACGCTTTTCATAAGAGAAGAACATTGTGCATATGAATAGGTTACATATGTTTTTAAGTCACTTTTTTAAACATATATTTTTGATTGACAAGTTGCCTTCAAATTTTTTTAGGTAGTTGAGGTTTAAAAAATTTGTGCCTTCTATTTTTATGGAGAAAGTCATTTTAAAATAGCAGTTGTTTTTTTGTAAGCCATTGACTAATAAAACAGTTGACTAATAATTATTTTGTTAACTTGACATCAGTATGACTATTATTTATTATTTGTATATGTGGTAATTTTTGAAAGTTTGAATTGTACAGATACATTGTTATCTTTTGCATTTATGTTAGTTACCCTATTGTACTTCTGTTAGCTCTCTATTTCTGGTTGATACTGTTTTAGCTAACTTTACCTGAGAAAAACTTTTAAGGGCTTATAAGACTTAAGACCTGTATGTCTTTGTTTGTCTCATGAATTAATAACATGCACAATCATACTGTAAAGTTTTAATCACCATAGCTCAACATAAAATCAGTAAAATTTCATATTAGATACTAAATATTACAGTATTATTACCTTTTTTTTTCTCAAGTTGGAAGTGTGGATTATTTTGTCCCGTGGTTGTATCAGTAACTCTCCAGTTCTTTGTGTGTTATAAGTAATATTTTACATTATTCTTCTTACCATACCATTATTATTTATATAATAACCATGAAAAGAATTTATACCTCTTCAGCAGCCATTGGATATAAACATCTACCTACTGCTATCTATACTTTTGGTGGTATCAATTCAGGACGGCTGCTTACCTGTTTAAGTTCTTGTTGCCCCTTGCCCAAAGGTTTAAATTTGTATATAGCTCTGCTGCCTAATTTTGGTTCCTGGGATGAAAATACTTACTAAAGCGTTTTTTAAAAATTCAACTTAGCTTACATATTAACTGTATGGTTTTCCAAAGTGATGGGATACATCTAATAAATACATACTAACAATTGCTTCTAAAAATGAGAACTCTCAGGAGCCAGTATGGCTCTGAGGACACCTGTGTATTAAAGCGTATAAAGGGATTATGGTGACCTTTTCTTGGCAGATTATGAAAGCGTCATGACTTGCAACGAGTTTCCTTATGTCACTATCAAGCAGGTTGAGAAGACATAAATATTAGTGGGTTTTGTCTACATGTTGTATTTAAATCTATTAATATTTTCTATATTGCCTTCTTCTGTAGGTGTACATAATGTGTATTAAAGAATTCTGAAAAATAAGACAATTTTAGTAATTTTATAAATGTAAATGAAACATTTTTATCATGGGTCTAAAAGTTAAGTACAATAAATAAAATAAAGTTTTTATGCTCAGAAAAATAGGAAATCTGAAATTGAACTTTTGCCTCTGGCCAAATTGTAGTAACAGGGATTAAACTTACCTTCCCACTAGAAATTTAAATAAAAAGACAAAATGTGCAAAATAGTTATCACATTTTGGACATTAGCCAACCCAAGCCAGAATGATCCTTGAGTGAAGGGAAAAAAAGAGACTTAAGAAAGTCAATGAACCATAAACATAAGAAATGAGAAAAATTTACCAAATTTCTTAAAACCAGAAAATGAGGGAGAATTCTTAGAAGAAGCCAAAGAAAACACACAAAGAAGAAAAAAGATAAGAATGTCACAGTGGAGCAACATCTTTAAAGTACTGAAAAAAAAAAACCCTCAATTTAGAATTCTGTATCCAATGAAAATATTTTTAGAAAACAAAAATGAAGTAAAATCTTTTTTCAAAACTAGAGAAGCTATAAGAGTTAATCATAAGCAAAAAGAACTACAGGAAATGTTAAAAGAATGCCCTTAGTCAGAAAATGATTCTACATAGAAACCTGCAACTATACAAAGGAATGAAGAACACCAAAAAGGTAATATGTGAGCAAATACAAGACATTTTTTTAGCCAAGTGCTGGTGGCTCACACTTGTAATTCTAACTGCTTGTGAGGCTGGTATCAGGAGGATCAAGGCCAGCCCAGGCAAAATGTCATGAGACCGCATCTCAACCAAAAGTTGGGTGCAGTGGGGCATACCTATCATCCCAACTACATGGAAAGCTGAAATTGGGAGGACCACCATTCCAGGCCAGCTCAGGCAAAAAAGTTAACAAGACTCCATCTCAACAGAAAAAACGCTGAGCTTAGTGGGCACCCAGTTACCCCGGCTATAGCTGGAAACATGAAAATAGGAGGGCAATGGTCCTGGGCAAGATAATAACTAGAGCCAAAAAAAAAAAGGAGGGCTGATGGTGTGGCTCAGCTACAGAGCACCTACTTCTTGCAAGCACAAAGCCCCGAGTTTAAACCCCAGTACCACAAAAAAAAGACATTTTTATTTCAAATGCTATTTCAAAGATAATAAATGAAAGCAAAATATAAGTTATTGTGTGGGTAACACATTGGTTAGTATATACCACGATCATCAGAGTTGGGAAGATAGAATGAAAGTGTCCTGCTCCAAGGTTCTTAGATTAACTGAGTGAGGGATAATATTAGACAGTGATTAGTTAAAAAATGTAAGCTGTAAACCCACAAAAAGAAGAAGAAAAAGTTTATAAATAACGAATAAACGATGAAAGGTGATAGTGTACCCATAAAACTAAAAGGCAGAGAAAGAAGGGCACAAAAAATAGATGAGACAATAGAAAATAAACACTAAGATGGTAAATTTATTCAGCCATATCCTTAATTACATTAAATTACCAGTTACTCTTATCAGACTGAATCTTTTTTAAAAATCCAACCACATCAAGTATAAGAAATCCATTTTAAATACAAACAACCAAATTGTTTAAGTATAAAAAGGAAATAAAGTACTACTATACTAACTGCAAATGATAACATTTGTGGGCCTCAACTGGAACAGTACTTTCAAGGGGATGCTTAGCATTAAATGTGTGTATAAGAAAAGACTTCTAGATCAATGACCTCAGCTACCACCTTAAGCTAGAAAAATAAGTGAGTCCCAAAATAAGGGGCGGGGGGGAATGAATGCAATAGGGAAAAGGTCCGTTGAGAAAACAGAAAGCTAGTTCTTAGAGATCAATAAAATTGATAAAGCACACTGATAAGAAAGAGACATAACCAATCTCAAGAATGAGAGAAATGACATCTCTACCAACTCTACAGATAATTCTGACAAAGAAAATGCCAAATACGAGAAAGCTACACTGATGAATTTAAAATGTTTAAAGAGGAAAACATCCAAATTGTGAACAGTTGCTTGTAGGAAGTGGAAAAGAAAGGGATAATTCCCTAAATCACTGAGGTCAGCATTACTCTAATAAGTAAGGCAGCATCATGACAAGAAAACACAAACTAATATTTTTCATGAACTGAGAAGCAAAACTCTACAAGTTTTGGCAGTTTGAATCCTGTGATTTATTAAAAAAAAAAAAATACACATAACCAAGATCTCACGAATGTAAATTTGGGCTACCTTTAGAAAGTTAAGTATAATTCACAGAATTAACAGATTATCATGGGAAAAACAAGATTATCTCATAGTTGCAGAAAGAACATTTGACAAAACCCTGCACTCATTCCTGATTAAAAACTCCGCAAAGCTCAAACAAATGTATTTGTCCTTAAACTGACAAAGAACATTCAAAGAAAACCAGCAGCCAGAATCATATTTAATGTGAAAAACCAAATGATTTTAGGGACAAAGCCCTGTTCTATTAAGCATTGTTTTGGAGTTTCTAGCCTGGGCAATTAGGCAAGAAAAATGAAATAAAAACCCTCCAGATTACAAGGAGGAAGTAAAAAGTTTAATTCATTTGACTAAAAATTCCTATGGAAAATAAAAAATATCTGAGACTACTGAGTTTAATGATGTTACAGGATACAAAGTCAATGTATAAAAATGGCATTTTTATACGCTGGTAACAACAAATGAGGAGATGAAATAAAACTACCATTTACAGTAGCATAAAATGTGGGATACTTGGCTGTAAAAGACTTGTACATTGAATTCTACAAAACAGCTGAAAGTAAACAAATTGGAGAGGTGCATATGTTCATGGGTTGGAGCGCTCAGTGTTGTAAAATGTCCGTTCTTCCCACACTGACGTGTATTCAGAATCCCAGCAAGGATTTTAGGCTTTGTATCTGGTTTTTTTTTTTTTTTTTTTTTGTAGAATTTATTGAGCGACTTCTAAAATTTGGAAACATAGAAGTGCTAGAATAATGAAAACAACCTTGGAAAAATAAAAGCACATTAGAGTGCTTATAGTTCCTAATTTCTAGATCTGTTATAGGGTCATCTAATCAAAACAATGTGTAACTATAGTCACACCAGTGTAGCACAGTAAAGTCCAGAGGTGGACACAAACAGAGTCAACTTAGTGTTGACAAACATGTGAAGATATTTTTTTAAAAAAAGGATAGACTTAAAAAAAAAAAGTTTTGTTAGAGTAAGTGGATATTTATGTTTGAAATGAAAGTCCTGGTGCATACTATGTAAAACATAAACCTAAGAAAAAGTTCTAGAAGACATTATAAGACGAAATTGTGAGTTTGGGGTAGATATTTTTGTTCATTTGTTCTTTTTTTTTTTTTTTTTGGATTCATGGTCTCACTGTGGAGACCAGACTAGAACCTCGTGATCCTCTTACCCCTGCCCCCCAAGTGCTGGGATTACAGGTGTGGACCAACATACCTGGTAGGGTAGATGTCTTACATACATACATGTATGTATGTATATATGTATGTATATATATATCACTGAAAGTGAAAAATAATGACATGGATTTCAGCAAAATTGAAATGTGGTCTTTGAAAGATACCATTAAGATCATTAGAGAACAATGTACTCAATATAAGAAAATGTTTTCTAATCACATATCTAAGAAAGATCTTGTATCCAGAACATAAAAGAACACATAAAGGAATCTCAAGACAGTAAGAAAACAATACAATTTTTTAAATGGGCAAAGGATTTAGAGGAACACTTCATCAAAGAAATATGAAGATGGAAATGTGTACCTGAAAAGATGCTTATAATCACCGGTCTTTAGGGAAATGCAGCTACACCGCGATGAGATGCTATCACACATTTACTAAAGTAATGAGAATTTAAAAAATGACCATACTATATATTGGTGAGGCTATGGAGCACTGGAATTTTTATACTAGTTATATAAGATGGTACAGTCACCCTGGGAATCATTTTGACAGTTTCTTAAACCACTGAACAAACACCAGTTATATATCCAAGCCATTCCACTCCAGATACTTAAGAGAAATAAAAGTAGATATCCACACAAGACTTGTACATGAGTGCTCATAACCACTCTGTTTGTAATAGCCAAAATTGGGAAATAATCCAAATACCTGTCAGCAGATGGATGAATAAACAAATTATAGTTTATATAATGGAATACCACTCAGCTATATGGAGGGAATAAACTACAAAATGTACAGCAAGATAAATGAATCACAAAATAATTATACTGAGGAACAGAAGCTAG